AATCTTCGGTAATCCTCATACCAAGTAATCGCAAAAGGAAATTTATAACTTCAGGTGTAGAGTTCACCCATTATCTATCGGAATCTGGTAAGATATTAATAAAACATGGCCAATCCACGTCAAGACATTATTGACGTCCTACACGAAGCCCAAGTGGACTTTCCACCATCTGCTACCACGGCCCAGCTACGTAATTTATTGCGAAATGTGGTGGGCGGACATAGCAGTGCTGCTAGTGGAATGTCTTCCAATGCCGATTGTGGTGTACCCGATGATGTTGATACTATTACTAATGCCGATGCCGATGCCGTCCCCAATGCCGCTACTGACGTCGATGATTGTGCCGCTGATATGAACATACGGGCCACTGCCGTGCCTATAACTACTGCCGATGCTGTGTATGGTGCTGATGCCGTTCCCCCTGCCGTTACCGTCTCTTCTGTCGTTGCCGCTGCCGCTATTACTGATGTCGTCACTGCCTCTTCTGCCGCCATTACTGATGTCGTTACTGCCTCTTCTGCCGCTGCCAGCACCGCTCCCAATGCCGTTCCCAGGCTCGCAGATTTAGACCGGGAGGTGCTAGCACTGAAAAAGAGACTGGAGATGCTGAAATTAATGCAGCAAATTGAAGAATTGGAAAATCGGTCAGCGACGAAATGCCATCGAAAGCTTGATTTTGGTGATATCGAGCATGCCTTGCCGAAATTTAATGGTGATGACGTAGCCTATCCGGTTGAACATTTTATAAGAGACTTTGAAGAGATTATGCAGTCGACGGGAGCGGATGAGAATTTTAAATTGCTGGCACTCCGTCGCTCCTTAACCGGAACTGCGCGCGTGTTCCTCTCGACCACGACGGCGTTGAATTACTGTGCACTTAAGGGGGCTTTAATGAAAGAGTTCAATTTTGCGGTAACCAGGCAAGAGATCTACAAAATGCTGTCGCAGAGACGGTGGCGAAAGAAAGACGAATCAATGCATTGCTATGTTCTTTCAATGCAGGCTATCGCAAAGCGAGCAAACATTGCGGAGCAGGAGGTGGTCGATTTTATAATCGATGGTATTGGGAACAGTGTTCCAAATTCGCACTTACTTCTATCGGCGCAAAATACAGATGAACTTAAGGCTATCATCAGCCGCTACCAAAATAAATATTTCGCTACAAAGACTATAGACCAGAAGCCGCCGACTGCCGTGAAGCAGAAGACAGAGCAGAAACAACTTTGTTACAACTGCTCGCAAACTGGGCACATAAAACCGAACTGTCCATTTCCACTAAGGCCGGACGGGTCATGCTTTAAATGCTGGAGGATGGGGCACGATCATCGAGCTTGTCCCAACCCGAGGAAAATTCTCAAACGCAAAGATGATGTAGCTGCTGTAGTGGAGTACAGTGACGATGCCGAGATCGTTGGAGAGCACAATTATGTAAGCATAGAATTTAAGCTAGCTAGGGGAATAGTCTCTAACCTTATTTTTTCTCTTTTTGATACTGGCAGTCCGGTCAGTTTTATTAGATTTTCGGACGTCCCAAAAGAACTGAGTATGAAAGTAATGAAGAGAACTGCCTCCACATTTAAGGGAATCGGTGGAAAACCCCTATTAATTTTTGGTACAATTGAATGTAAAATTTCTTTCAAAAATAAAATGGATGTTGTTGAATTAAAAGTACTTGCTGATAGTTGTATGTCTTTGCCGGTTATTTTGGGACGAGACTTTTTGAAGTTATTTAATATAAAATTAGCTAGTATAGATGAAGACACTTTGAAAACTATTCATAACAGTAAAACGTATTTAAATAAGTCATTAAAAACTGTGAATACCCTCACAACTGACGGGGCCATCGGGAACTCGGTTAATGATATACCAAAGTTCCGAAACCATGACGTTAAAGACCGAAATGAATGTAGTATCAGTTTTGGTGCCGTTGAGGTCCCAGATCTTTTTTGTATTGAAGTGAGTATGGATAAAGATCGTCTTGATATTGATCCCAAGTTGCCTAAAGATCAACATTCAGATATGGAACGACTGATAGAATCCACTTACTTAAAGACGGACATTGAGGTTGAACCGTTCATGTATAAAATGAAAATACATTTAACGACTGATATACCGTTTCATTGCCCTCCCCGGCGACTTTCCTATTCAGAACGGGGTGACGTACAATCTATAGTGGACGACTTGCAGAAAGAAGGGATAATCAGACCCAGTAACTCACCATACGCTTCCGCAATTGTGTTAGTGCGAAAGAAGAACGGGAAGATTCGCATGTGTATTGACTATAGGGCACTAAATAAAATAACTGTTCGCGACAACTACCCTCTACCACTAATTGATGACTGTATTGAATTCCTTGAAAATAAAAAGGTTTTTTCCATCCTGGATTTAAAGAGTGGGTTTCACCAAGTGCAGATGTCACCCGAATCAATTCCGTACACTTCCTTCGTAACTCCCAATGGTCAGTATGAGTACCTAAAAATGCCGTTCGGGTTAAAAAATGCCCCTGCCGTATTTCAGCGCTTCATTAATAATATATTTCGTGACTTGATCGACAAAAGGAAAATTATTATATATATGGACGATATTGTAGTCGCCACATATGGGTTAGAAGAACATAAGACTTTATTGAAAGTCGTATTAGAGCGACTCGCAAGGCGAGGATTGAAACTTAACCTAGATAAATCAAAGTTTGCATACAGAGAAATCGACTATTTAGGTTATGAAGTGACTAATTCAGGAATCCGACCGAATGGTTCCCATATTAGAAGTATTCGGAATTTCCCAATGCCTACCAACCAAAAGCAATTACAATCCTGCATAGGGTTGTTCTCCTACTTCCGTCGTTTTGTGCCATCGTTTTCTCAGATAGCCAAACCACTTCAAAATCTACTTAAACGCCAAGCCATTTTTGATTTTAATGAGACTTGTCTCAATGCCTTCAATGAGCTTAAATGTCGATTAATCGAAGCGCCGGTCTTGGCAATATATAATCGTGAAAAGGAGACTGAACTGCATTGTGATGCTAGCTCAATAGGATTTGGTGCTGTGTTGTTACAGCGACAGGACGATAATAAGTTTCATCCCATTTCATACTTCTCAAAGACTGCCTCCAGTGCCGAATCCAAATATCACAGCTTTGAGCTTGAAACCCTAGCGATAATTTACGCTTTAAGAAGGTTCAGAACTTATCTTGAGGGTATGCCATTTAAGATAATCACTGACTGTAATTCGCTAGCTATGACTCTGGAGAGGAAACAATTGAATCCCCGAATCGCTAGGTGGGCCCTTGAGTTGGAAAATTACAATTATGTCATTCAGCATAGGAAAGGTGCTTCTATGGGACATGTAGACACGTTGAGTAGAACACATATTGCATTTATTATTAATACTGAGGAGGTTGAATTCCAAGTTCAAATAGCCCAAGAGCGTGACGAAACCATAAGTTCTCTGCGAAGCCGTCTGGAGAACGAGGTAGTCCAAGACTTTAATCTGATAGATGGTTTAGTTTATAGATTGAGGTCGGACGGTAAACGATTGCTATATGTGCCCAGTGAAATGGAATCTAATATTATTAGACTGATGCATGAAAAAATAGGACACCAATCAGTTGAGAAGACTGTCAGTAAGCTGAGTCTGTACTATTGGTTTCCAAAGATGAAAGTGAAAGTGGAAAAGTTTATTAGAAATTGCTTGAAATGCCTGATGTATGCCACACCTCCGCGAGCCAGAGAAAGAAATTTTCATGCTATTCCAAAGACACCATTGCCGTTCGATACCCTTCATATTGACCACTTTGGTCCACTGCCGTCCCTGAATTCAAAGCGTAAACATATTCTTGTCGTAGTCGACTCATTCACCAAATTTGTGAAGCTTTACCCAACTAATTCTACTAGCACCCGGGAAGTAACTGCCGCCCTAGAAAAATATTTCAATTATTATAGCCGACCGAGACGAATTATTAGCGATAGAGGAACGTGTTTTACGTCTATGGAATTTAGCGGGTTCCTCTCCAAGCGAAATATTGACCATGTAAAAGTAGCTGTAGCCTCTCCCCAAGCGAACGGACAAGTCGAACGTGTGAATAGGGTGCTTAAGGCGATGTTAGGGAAATTGACTGATCCAATAAACCATGCTGACTGGTGTTTAAAATTGCTAGAAGTGGAATATGCCATGAATAATTCCGTTCATAGCACCTGTCGGGACACTCCTAGCCGGCTCCTATTCGGTGTAGAACAACGTGGGACAATTGTCGATGAATTCACAGAATATTTTCAGGAAAAAACGCACCCTAACTTAGGACGAGATTTAGTATCCATACGGCAGAACGCGTCTGATGCTATTAAGGCCAGACAAAACTATGAAACCATGCGATTAGCCAACACCAGTGCCGAACATAAGAGCTATGAGGTAGGAGATTACGTGGTTATTAGGAATATCGACAATACTGTTGGAGTTAACAAGAAATTTGTACCCCAATACAAGGGACCGTATGTAGTATACAAAGTGTTAGGGAATGATAGGTATGTTATCCGGGACATTGATAACTGCCAATTGACCCAACTGCCATATGACGGGGTAATTGAAGCCCACCGAATTAGAAGGTGGCTGGACAGAACAAGTGATGGCCCCGCCGATCAAGATGGCATAGAGAGGGATCCCTTAGACATTAGTTAGAGACAAGAACGGTTTAAATAACGACACAGATGATCGAGGCCGATCTATTGCCAGATTGGCCGAGCTGTAAACTAATTATAAGCTGTCATACATCTTTGTACTCTGTAAATAG